TCGTTAATACCGGTCAACCTTTAAGGAAATGGTTCTATCTATGAGGAACAACAATCAAGGAGCGGTAAGAGTGGTCTAAATTACCAAAAAGGATTGAGACAGATTTCATTCCCAACGTCTCAAGTTGCTCGTGACCCACAGGCTCAATTATCCCATAACATTCGTGGTTCGATTAGTGTTGCGTGTATCGGGGGAAATGTAGTATCATCTTAGGGAGATGCTTGGAATGCACGGATTCAACAAGCATTGTAAGCTATTGGCTTATCACTGGATGACATCGAAGCAGAAAGAGAACCTTTATATAGTCTAAGGTTCTAGAAGGGTATGGAAGTTGGAAAACAAAAAGGTGTACAAGCCTCTAACCTAAATTAGGGAGAAATGAGACTTTATGGTAATGCCAGAAGCAAACATATAAAGGTGTGAACGTTAGTATTGGGCTCATACTATCATTAGTGGCATGTTCAACTGCTTAAGAATAATATGTTGTCGTTGGAAGATGTTGTGCTCAAATCCTCTGGATTCAAAACCAACTTCAAGATTATGGCTTCATGATCTCCAAGACTCCCATATGTTGTGGCAATACCAACACCATTCTCATCATCTAGAGCATCATCTAGAATCTGGTTTAACATTCAAAGACCAAATACATCGAGATTCGACATCATTTCATCAGGGACAATGTGAAGAAAGGGAAGATTGAATTGATGTATGTTCCAACTACCAACTACAAACCAACTCATTGATATCTTCACCAAGCCCCTAGACGAACAAACTACAAACCAACTACAAACTATGTGTTTTTTTTCATTCAAACCGTGTGATTTTTGCTATTTCTGTGTGGATTTTTCTTTTATATTAAAAAAATACCAAAAAAAAACTTTTTTTTTATTATTTATAATTTTTTTCTATTACATAATTTATTTCAGATACCACCAATAACTCTAAGAATCATTGCTCCATTATGAATTCGAATGTCAAACACATAAACAGCTGTTTGTTACATCATAGTGCACAATACATTTGTTCCCTTTCTTCTCCACAAGCCTTGCTAACCACCACCCATTATTATTGTACCACGAATCCACAATATCTCATTCTTGTAAGATCACCATCACCTTGGAAGGATATAGCCTAGTTGTGCCGTCACAGCAAAAACACTCCATTTATCACCATCAGCTATATATGTAACACTTCTTTCTGATGAAACAAATGCTCTTTTTACTCCTACCATAAAAACTCGTATTGATCCCTGTAAAACTTTCCATGTTTTACATTTACAACAATGCTCAATTCTTTTTTACAACTAAAACAAAATTCTTTTATCTTTTTCTTATATGCTCATTTAACCTTCTGTTTCATTTCCTAATTCATCACTACCTTTTTTTAATTCCATAATCATCTTCTTCAACATTTGTCTGTTTTTCATTTTCTTCTATCTTCCTAGATTCAACTTCTTCAACAACCACTTCCCTTTCCACCCTAACAAAAATTTTTGACAGTTTCTTTTTTTTTCTTTTTTTTTTCCCTCAACATTCCACTTACCGTACTACTTTACATTTCATTAAACTTTACTAACGTTTAATGCATTATCACATCAACATTCCATTCACCATACTAATTTTTCTGTATTTCTCATTCTATACTTAATAATACTACATAAAACTTTGTTGTATCGTAATAATAATATATTTTATATTTGTATTTATCATTTTTTTTTTGTTTTAGATGATTTAAATTATCAAAATTGGCTACTTTTATATACAATCAACCCGAAAAAATTAATCAAAAAACGTATCGACAGATTCCATGGTTATTTTTTTGTAAACTTATAAGATTTATATTTTCTACTGCCACAAAATGTCAAAATCCAAAAAAAATGCAACGATATTTTTAATAAATAATAAATATAAGACAAAATTTCACGAATGGTCATTTTTGTTTAAAAAATTCCTTCAAACGGTCCTTATGAAATTTTTTTGCATCAATAGTCCCTTTCAACAAAAGTTGGCATGCCAATCGTTCTTATGTATAACGTGAGTTAGAGAGGGACGTTAAGTCCCCATAAGGACCATTTGTGAAATTTTCTGATATTATGTATAAGGATCATTTATGAAATTTTCTGAAACTTTGTATAAAGACCATTAGTAAAATTTAAAAAAAATCTATTAAATTTTATTTTAATTATCATAAATAAAATAAAAAGGCAAAAAAACTAAAACATAGAAAGTTTAATATTTATATTAAGTTTTAGAAAATATGACAAATGATAATTAACATTTCTCTCTAAGGGACGTTATACATAAGGACTATTGAGATGCGAACTTTTGTCGAAAATGATCATTAATATAAAAAAGTTTCAAGAAAATCGTTTAAAAGAAACATTTTAAACCAAAAAAAATAATTTATGAAATTTGTTTAAATATAATCACGTTTTAAAAATTAGTATATACTATCAATTCTTAAAAAGCTTAGCTTGAGTGTATTTTATTCTCTTTCATCTTCTCCCACTGAAGTTTTCCTTCTGATAAAAGCGCCCCAATAGTTCTCATTTTTCTTTTCCTTCTTATCCGTTTTGGTGGCCGCCTTGCCGCCCTCCTCGTCCAATACAATTTCGTTGGCTTTTCCTTATTTCCTCCTCCTTTCTTCTTTACTTTTCCTTCCTCTTCCGCTGCTGTGTTCTTATTCTCCGTTCTTGTCTCTATTTCTTTTGTAGGTATGTTGTCTTCCCTGTTGCGCTGTTACTTCTTCTTACTTTACCATAGTTAGAGGGTGCTTACACAAATATGTGTCCTCCTTCCAAACCAGGTTCAGTTCCTTTCACCGCTCTTCGACCCGCCCATGGCTTTCTCCACCACTCCATTTTACGAACCCTTTTTTGTAGATTGGTTTGTGTTGGAGACGATGGTCTGGTGACTTGACGTGTTTTCCACAAAGCACCGCTTCCCTCTCCTTTTACCAGCTCCATGTGACTCCTGCTTCGATCGTCTGGTGTTTCTCATTATTTTTGTGTTAAAAAGCACAATTTCAGGTTATTTGTTTATCCTCTTTCATTCTTTCTATGTTTTGTGGCTGGTGCTTCGATGTCCTAAATCCTTCTTCTCTCTCTCTCTCTCTCTCTCTCTCTCTTGGTTTCAGAAGTCAAGGGTGTGATGATGGAGAACATTGAGAAGGTAAAACTTATTAGCTGTTTGATCAGATAATGGAACACTTTACCCCTTTTTGATGTATTGTATCATCATCATTATTATTATGATTATTAGTGTTTGTATCATTTTTAATCTGTAAGTTCTTCACCGTGGAGAAAAGATTGAACTTCTGGAGGATAAAGCAGAGAACCTTCACTCTCAGGTCAGTAAATCTATACACATATTATTAAAATCATGCCTCAAATGGAAAAACTGAATCTTACAAGCCGTGTCATGTAAAGAATGTTAGGGTTGATTGAAGAAGAGACGATGAGGAATCGTTAATGATTATGGTTGGTGACTCGGTTTTCGCATTACTTTCGTTTGAAGTCTTGTCAGAAAGCTGATCCATCTTCTTAACCAGTCCCATGTAAGTACAATTTAACTAATGTTTGGGTGCAAAACACTATAAAAAGGTTTTTATGAGTGAACAGCTCAATTGAAGGTTTCAAAGCTTTATTAATATTTATTTTCTTAATTTACAGATGGTGGAACTATGCTCGGGCCTTACCTTTGGCTTTACTTGAGGTTTACTTATGTTTGGAAGACATCAATAACACAATAAGCACACCTCCGTTCTATTCAAGTTTTCATTTTGGTTTTCTTCTGAATGATTTTTAGTTAGACTATAATTACGGCCAAAAATCTACAAGTGACAACTAATTTCATATTATCAGATGGGGGTGACCAAGGAAGAGAAACAAAAACCCCATCTTCAGAAATCAAGTATGTTTATGATGATCAGGTTTAATATTCTTTCTAATTATTAATTGATGATTACTAATTTTCATCAGCATCAGATGGTTGTCGATGGCGTCAATCATCAAGGATCAGGAACAAGAAGAAGAGGGTTTTAAAAAAGAAATGTGTGATTTAGCTAAAATGCTATCAAAATTGAATCCTATGGCTGCAGAATTTGTGCCCCCTTCATTCTCCAACAGCCATACTAGCCCCTTTTTATTTTCACCATCTCCTACTTCTCACTTTGATTATGACACCATCAAAATTTCCTGTTCCAAACTAATACTACATCAGCTTTCATCAACACCATCAAAATTTCCTTTTCCTTTATCCAGGAGGTGGTAAGTGGGGACAACAATTAACTCGGCATCAAAACTAATCATTTTCGTTTCTATCTCAGGTTCTGAAAAATGAATGATTAAAACTGCTCCATATGTTCTAAAATTGTGCATTTTTATCTTAACAGATGTTATATTTCCTTCGATATTGCGACTCGAAAGTGGGATAATGGAATTGGAAGAGAGGAACCAAAAAGAAATATACTCAAAAAGATATTCACGAAAAGAAGGTTTTGACAAGGGAAAACTCTCGGATGCTGATGTAGAAAGAGAAATCGAATGCAGGTTTTGCTTGGAAACAAATAGTGGAGTTGTGTTGCTGGATTGCAGCCATTCTTTGTGCTTGAAGTACTATCGAGATTGGTAAGTTTCTCTGTTACATCTACCTAATGGGACCCATATTTACAAGTAATAGCACAATGTAAATACTAAACACATTGTTATTGGTAAAAATATAATTACATTGTTATTATGATAGAAAAACAAGCGCCAAAGGCGCACCTAATTCCGTTGTTGATAAAAGTAGCCACAATTTATTTTATTAGAGCTATAAATATTAGTCATTCTTTTAAATATCTTAAATACATATTTACTTAGTCTATGACTAAGTAACTATTTGTTTTTATTGGTATAAAAAACAGAGAAAAAAATATAGATATTTTTCAATACACATAGTGGAATATCTGGTATTAGTATACCACGTGTCAACTCCATTAATCATTTTCTTTTTCCTTGTTTATAATAACGCAGAAGTAATATCTCCATTAGCCACATCAGATTCAAGCAAAGGTGTCATATCTGGCTGCTCAATACGTGTCCCCAAATGCTCGCTATCTTCTTCATATCTATCGACACTATGAAGAAAGATACCTGTAAAAAACAAACATACCACATCAAAAGAAAAAGTCGATCTTCATTTCATTTGTACAAAAAGACGAAAATGCCCTACCTATAAACCATATTCCGGCTGCCAAAAACAATATTGACGTTAAGATCAAAATAGATGTCCTCCAGTTATCAACTTTGTCCTGTGTCACAGATAAAAGAATCGTTGATAAATTCAAGATGAAGAATATTAAATAAATAAAGAAATAAATAGGTGATTTTCAAACCTGTAGGATTCCAAAAAGTGGCGGGGAGGGCACGTCACCAAAGATGTGAATTGATACAGTAGATATTGCCATTGATAATGGTCGTAAACTTGGTTTAACAGAATGGAGACACACAAGATTCACCGGACCCTGTTATTATTTTTTATTTGTGTTTTTATCAGAATCTAATATAACTATATATCATACATGATAATATTCAAATGGCTAAACGCAATAAATAGCAACCTATTTTTTTTTTATTACAACATTGTACTTTTAACCTTTTCTTCTTAAAGCATTGTATTTTGAAAAATCCACCTAATCAGGGGATTGTGTTTTCAATAACTTTTTTCATAATAGAACATTATACTTTGATAAATATGTCGAATTATAGTGCTATGATCTCCTTAAATACATTAGTGGAGGTTATTAACATAAGTTACTGTCTTCTCCTTTTTTCCTTGATAAAGCATCGGTTCCCTAAATACATAAGGAAGGAAATCCTCCTAAACTTCAAGACCTTGGAGCTGAATTACACCTCCTTTACATTCACCTTTCCCTTGCACTGTGACTCTGTTTCCCAATGCAACCCCAAAACCTCATGTGTTTATAATTGGAAGCCTCAACTTCTCAACTATTTGGAGTGACACAAAATTATGTGTTGCCCCCTGGTCCACCATCACTACCACATCTTCTTGTTGAATTCGCCGTTTTAACTTCAGAGTTTCGGTTAAATGATCCCCAATATGGAATTTAAACAAACTTTCGTCTTCAATTCATCCTCTAATTCTATTTATGGTTCCTCATCATTCATCAATCCCATATTCGTCATCAATTGTTAGTATTATGCTTAACTTTTT